CGGAAATTTCCGACACTCTGTATATTCCTCTACGACTGTATACATGTTTGTATATGTACGAATTAAAACACTGGATAATCCGTATACACAATAAAACACTCGGTAATACGTACTCAAAATGTCATAAAGCTACTGAACTATTAGGGCGGGTTCAAGCTCCCTCCCCCCGCCTCAATTTGAGGCTACAAGTGAAAGGAATATAATGGAAGAGCTAAAAATGGAAAAAAGGTAATGGAGAAAGGGTAATGGAAGAGCTCTCACATCATGGTTAGGGGGGGGGGGGCTCCGGCATGGTATATACGACCATGGTGGTATGGTATGGAACCCGGCCACCACCACCAATCATTACTCCTGCCACCACCACCAATCATTACTCCTGCCACCACCACCAATCATTACTCCTGCCACCACCACCAATCATTACTCCTGCCACCACCACCACCTGTTACTCCTGACACCACAATCATTACTCCTGCCACCACGTTTGCTGCTTTAGTGAAGATAAAAGCATTGCAATATTGACGTTATCACGGTCTAAACAGCACGGCCATCGACGAATGCTCCGTAGGTGAATTGGTCTAGATTTATTAATTACAGCTGCAAATCTGACGCTTGTATAAGCTACCACCAACACTACCACCAACACTGCCACCAGGGACACGGCTGTGGGCAGTGTTGGAACAGGTTTCCGTCTCCGTAAAAAAAAAATCCGTACTTTTAGGAGGGAATAAAGTCAGGTCATTCTTCCCGTGATGTACCGGACCTTTATTGACAGTAAATGGAGACATGTTGGCCAGAGGGATATAGACTGGGGTGGGGGATGGAGATACATATTGAGGTGTGGCGCACATATCTATCCATCTATCCGGGGGAGGGGGGGGGGGTTGAAATAGCCTAAGCTACTCAATCCCTTTGAGATGTATTTCTTTCTTGTCTCAATAAACATACTTGAACTTGAACTTAAGTTCCTCGACCTTACCTACACCTCTCTCTCTCTCTCTCTCTCTCTCTCTCTCTCTCTCTCTCTCTCTCTCTCTCTCTCTCTCTCTCTCTCTCTCTCTCTCTCTCTCTCTCTCCATTAGCATAGAATAACAAATTTTCCCAAATAGTTCACAATAAGACCGGAAAATCTGGGAACACCAGTCAGCAATACTGTAAATGTTGCAATGGCAGGGCTTTGCAGACAATTTAAATTGCTTGCATAAATGACCAAACTAAATGGCCTTGGCGTAAATGCCGAAGCCTAGCCTCAACGGCGCGGCTCAAACTTACAAAGCTTGAATTCGTGACGGTAATATTACTTTTTTGTGGAAAAAAAGAACCGCAAATAATTTCATTCGTGCAAATAATCATATAGAAAAGCACACACACATTGAAATTGAAATTGAAATTGAAATAAGTTTATTGAGGTAAAATACACACAAAGGGATGAGGTAGCTCAAGCTATTCTCACCCCGTTCAGTACAACGTGTTAGTACATACATAGACACACATCACACACACATGTATATCGATAATCTCATAGAAATCCATATATAGGTATATATACTTTGTTGTTGTTAAAGATTCGCTACCTGGAACAAAGTTCCAAGTAGCACGGGCTATGGCGAGCCCGTAACTTGATTAGGTATATATACATTTGGGATTTGCCTGTCAGTACTTAGTACTTAGTGGTCTATATAGCTCTTTGTGTCCCGTCTAAGAGCCTTGTTGTACCTGTGGCGTTATATAATTATCAACTATTCTGACGTTCGAATTCTGTGTTGAATCCGACCTTGAAGTTGTGGATGGAGGTGGCTTCCACAACTTCTTCCCGTCAGTGCGAGAGAGAGAGAGAGAGAGAGAGAGAGAGAGAGAGAGAGAGAGAGAGAGAGAGAGAGAGAGAGAGAGAAGAGAGAGAGAGAGAGAGAGACTGCGAAGGTGCTTGGGTTGCTGGAGAGAATGGAGAAAGGGAAGCAGGAGAGTGTGTTTACACCAACACCAACCTCGTAACTCAGAATTTTATGCAAGAAAAACAGCCGGTCTAAACGCCCCCGCCGCACGAGTCTTGTCCACTGGAATATGTGCGAGACTAGTAAAACAGTAGTAAAGTTTAGTTACTCCCTCAACCCGTACCCAACCGCTTGGGGCTGGACGGTAGAGCGACGGTCTCTCTTCATGCAGGTCGGCGTTCAATCCCCGACCGTCCAAGTGGTTGGGCACCATTCCTTCCCCTCCTCCCATCCCAAATCCTTATCCTGTGCTTCCAAGGGCTATATAGTCGTAATGGCTTGGCGCTTTCCCCCCCTGATAGTTCCCTTCCCTTCCCCCAACCCGTATTACTTCCGTATAGATCATTCACCGCGAACTCCGAGCCTGGCATAAACGAACACGGCATAATAGCATTAATCCTAACCGCAACATACATGAGACCCATCCTGGAGTATGCAGCCCGGTCGTGAAGCCTAAAGAAGAACAAAATCAATTTGAAAAAAATGCTGAGTCTGCAAAGACACACACACACACACACACACACACACACACACACACACACACACACACACACACACACACACACACACACACACACACATCTTTATCAGCAAGCCTTTTTACTTCTCTATCAACCTACCTTCCTTTCTATCTACCTGCCTCCCTGCCCTAGCACCCCGCTAACCTAACCTAACCTAACCTAACCTTCCTACCCTAACCTAACCTAACCTAACCTTCCTGCCTTAGCACCCAGCTGTATAACAGAAAACCACATCACCCTTAACGCACTCATTCGCATTTTCCAGCGAGAATTTAGTGATCCACAAGCTCCATCAGGGACTGCTGGGAATTGAAAAAAATATAATAATATGATACTTTTGTGACTCTTTTTAATAGATCTCGCTTTCCCAGGTCGTTAGCGATTTTTGCTGGGTTATGTCAGCGATTTATTCGGTGCTTTGCCTCCCTTCTCCGTGGACTGGGAAAATGATGATCTGGAATTTTGAGTTGGATTTTATTGAGCGTGATCTTTCGGCATTCTTGGTTTTATATTTTCCCTGTGGGGTTGTGTGTGTGTGTGTGTGTGTGTGTGTGTGTGTGTGTGTGTGTGTGTTGTGTGTGTGTGTGTGTGTGTGTGTGTGTGTGTGTGTGTGTGTGTGTGTGTGTGTGTGTGTATAATTACCTAAGTGTAGTTACAGGATGAGAGCTACGCTCGTGGTGTCCCGTCTTCCCAGCACTCTTTGTCATATAACGCTTTGAAACTACTGACGGTCGTGACGTGTGTGTGTGTGTGTGTGTGTGTGTGTGTGTGTGTGTGTGTGTGTGTGTGTGTGTGTGTGTGTGTGTGTGTGTGTGTGTGTGTGGGGTATCACCAGGTGCCTCCTTAACAACACTGGGTGAATGAAACTTATCAAAGCATTGAGTCTTTTCCAAACTCATTTTCCAACCCATTACTCTGTCTAATAGCCATTGCATCATCATTAACCCTTCAAGACCTCTCCAAGACCTACCAGTCAAGAGCGACCATTAACCCCTTCAAAACCTCTCCAAGACCTACCACTCAAGAGCGACCATTAACCTCTTCAAGACCTCTCCAAGACCTACCAGTCAAGAGCGACCATTAACCCCTTCAAAACCTCTCCAAGACCTACCACTCAAGAGCGACCATTAACCTCTTCAAGACCTCTCCAAGACCTAGCAGTCAAGAGCGACCATTAACCTCTTCAAGACCTCTCCAAGACCTACCACTCAAAAGCGACCATTAACCTCTTCAAGACCTCTCCAAGACCTACCACTCAAGAGCGACCATTAACCTCTTCAAGACCTCTCCAAGACCTACCACTCAAGAGCGACCATTAACCTCTTCAAGACCTCTCCAAGACCTACCACTCAAGAGCGACCATTAACCTCTTCAAGACCTCTCCAAGAGGTTGAGTTAACATCTCTAAGACAATTTCACTCTTGGCTTGAAAGGTCAGACACAAGTATTATTGTAACTGCTAAATATTAGAACTAAAACTGCTCTTGCTAGGATTACTTCTACTGTAATAGCCATTCTACTAAGACAACTGCTGCAGTGATTACTATTTTCACTGCTACCTGAGTTACCCAGCGATGCCCGGGTCTCTCTCCCCCCCCCTTTTCTCCTAATGTCCCCCTCTCACATCTATCTTCCCCCCCCCCACTCCCCACCCCTCCTCTCCCCCTAATAATTTAATATTATGAAAGACTGGACAAAATTGCCAAAAATCTAAGGAAACACATCCCCCGATTTCAGGAACCATGGAAACCGCAGAGGGTCGCTATAGATGTCGATATTTCTTTAAAGTGCGCAACTGGGGGGCGACCTCAGACCGGCCTATATGACACCCTTCCACACAGGTGTCATCTTGGGGACTGTATATCATCTTGGAACGTTATATGAGACTAGCCCTAAGCGTTTGATCTACTTTGTACGTTAGACAAACAGATAAACAAATGGACATACGTTTTATTTGTAGATATATTAATACAGTAGTAATAATAATTATTATTATGAACTTCACCATCATATTTACCTAATCAATCAAGTTACCAAAATATTACACATATATTATTTATCTGTCTGTCATGTCGCGGTGATTTTATTACACCATAAATCACAATCAATTTTTTTTTTTTACCGGATTAAATTTTACCGTTCTTGAACCGACCCATTAGCGAAATTAAAATTCTTTGGGGAGAATTTTTTCTGATATTTTTTTTTGTTTTAACCATACTGGGAGCTCCCTCCCAGGGTGATGGGATGGTGGGATGGTGATGGGATGGTGATGGGTGTAGGTAGTTAGCCAGTAGAAGAGTCTCGGTGAGTATGTATATGCATAAATGAATACAAGAATGATCAGAAAGCCTTTTTTTTCCTGGAGTGAAACAATTCTTACTCATTGTTTCATTCAACTTTCTGGATCTTACCCATTGATTCGTTTCATTTTCTGGGGTCTTACTCAATGTTTCACTCACTCACTCACCAAGAGGAATATCGGGAGCTTTCACTCATTTTCACATGAAGGAGGAAGGAAAGTTTCCTTTCCCGGTGGCCAGACAGCTGATTGGAAAACTTTATAGGTGCATCGCAAACACGCGCCTCCAGGGCCAGGTGGAGGGTCTGGAGGCGCCTCCAGGACCAGGTGGAGGGCCTGGAGGCGCCTCCAGGGCCAGGTGGAGGGTCTGGAGGCGCCTCCAGGGCCAGGTGGAGGGCCTGGAGGCACCTCCAGGGCCAGGTGGAGGGCCTGGAAGCGCCTCCAGGGCCAGGTGGAGGGCCTGGGGGTGCCTCCAGGGCCAGGTGGAGGGCCTGGGGGTGCCTCCAGGGCCAGGTGGAGGGCCTGGAAGCGCCTCCAGGGCCAGGTGGAGGGTCTGGAGGCGCCTCCAGGCCCAGGTGGAGGGTCTGGAAGCGCCACCAGAGCCAGGTGGAGGGTCTGGAGGCGCCACCAGGGCCAGGTGGAGGGTCTGGAGGCGCCTCCAGGGCCAGGTGGAGGGTCTGGAAGCGCCACCAGGGCCAGGTGGAGGGTCTGGAAGCGCCTCCAGGGGCTGGGAGAGTCCGCCATCATGGTGTCTCGCACCATCGACAAAGTGTCACATTTCTTTCCCACAAATTTCGCAGAATTTCACCATTGTAATTATCCTCAGAGCCGACCTGGCACTCACATCGATATCTGGAAGGGTCGCTAGGGATGTCACGGAACGGGGGGGGGGCGGAGGAGAGGGGGGAGGGAGGGGGAAGGGAGCAGAGGAGGGGGGGGGTGATAAGTAGGGGGGGAGGGATAGGAAGGGGAGAGGGAGAGAGAGAGTAGCTATGGGGGAAGAACATTAGTGGAAGGACGCTTCCTCTTGTAGCATCATTCCATTATGTAATCGCTGAACTATATGTTTAACAGATCTCTAACCCTGTCTGTGGAGGACAGAAGAAAATGTATATATGCTGGATAGCATTGTAAATGTCTGGCCACGTCTGTGGTAGAAAAAAAAAATCACTTCAAGAGAGTGAATTGCCGGAGGGTTTGAAGAACGCCTAATGGTATGCTTAGGGGGTGCCTTCTCGCCATGCCCTGTGGCTGGGGGGATTGGTGCCCTGAAGCTACATAAACACCCTATACTCCTCCGAAGTGGCAAGGGGAGTTAGGGGGACAACAATAGCACTATAAGCACAAAAATAGGCAGGTACGAGTCACTGTGTCACTAGCAATCACTCCCTAGAACGTACTGAAGAGACTAATGAGGCATTTAGACGAACTACCCATTGTTGTTAAGCACCAACATGGGTTCAGCGGAGGGAGATGGAACGTAAACATTCTCAGTAAATCTTTCCGAGTAATGCACTAGAAATGAACTTGCTTCCCTAGATCACCCTAGACGCTTGCGTTACACAGGATGCAAGTTCACTATGCTTGCCTTCCTAATAAAGACCTTTGTGCCCCTCTGTAATGCTTTTGCGCTACCGCTCACAGGATGAGTATGGGGGTGCACAATAAACTAGCCGCCTTCGGCGGCAACAATCAACATCAAAAATATGCCTGCCTTGCCTCAAAACTCTCTCATCCTCATACAGGGATTTTATTCTGCATAATGATTCCAATAGATTTGCCAAATTTTGTTGAGTTGTAATACAAGGTGAGAAGTGTGGAATGACTTCGTCTACCCATACAACCTTGTCAACAAAGCGGGTGTAGCTGGAAAACTATATATATGGTTATATATGATATACATGAGAAAAAACTAGTACAAAATAAACGTGGCTTAGTCTTGGAATATCCAACGCATAGACTCGAATCCTCATCACGGCTGCTGAGGAGATTCACGATGAGAAATATGTTATGAACTATCTAGTAGCCTCTTCCTAACTAAATTTAAAATGCCATTCTATTACAAAGCCTAGGACGAGACCGCTAACTAATTTGCACAGTATTGTATACTTCATAGTTATCTATCTTTGTTGTTGATCGTTCTAAAGAAAGATTATGTATACTGATGTCTCTTAAACATGTTTGGTTGGACAGTAATTTAGTAATTTATTGGCACAGGCAAGCATATGCAAATTAGTCTTGCAAGAGTAATAATGTAATTATTTCAAACAGAGGGAGGAAGGAATCAGAAGAGAGACAACCACAAGGGAAAGATATATCAAGATAGCCATCACCAGGAAAGAACGATAACACTGGAGCGGCTATATTGATCTCTGCAAGACACGAAAGATTGAGGTGATGGTGGTGGTGTTGAAGGTTAAGTAGTCCCCGTGGTGCAGTGGTAAGACACTCGCCCGACGCTTCGCCAGCGCTTTGGCCTGGGGTTCGTATCCTGGCCCAGGGGGTAAGGATTGACCGGGCACCAATCCTTAACTGTAACCACCCCCTAACCCCCCAGTTCACCCAGCAGTGAATTGGAACCTGGTTGTTAAACGATCTGGCGAGATCATATTCCGGGAAAAAAAAATTAAGATTACGGACCTGCCCGAAACGCTATGCATCCTAGTGGCTTACATGACGGTAAGAACTTTTTGTATATATAAATAAAAACAAAGTTAACGGCCCCCCGCGCACCTGCCAGAGTCACCCTCCGGCCTGCATTCACTTCAAAGTTACTCTAGCATTAGCGCCAGTTTTCACTTCTCTATACAATAGATGGCGGTTAAGACTGCTCTCTCTCTCTCTCTCCTCTCTCTCTCTCTCTCTCTCTCTCTCTCGCTCTTCTCTCTCCTCTCTCTCTCTCTCTCTCTCTCTCTCTCTCTCTCTCTCTCTCTCTCTCTCTCTCTCTCTCTCTCTCTCTCTCTCTCTCTCTCTCTCTCTCTCTCTCTCCTCTCTCTCTCTCTCTCTCTCTCTCTCTCTCTCTCTCTCTCTCTCTCTCATCACTACACCTTTGCGTGTTGTACAGCTGCGAGGTAAATAACACATTAAAAGATCGCCAGCTGGTGGTGTAGCTCATACATATATATATATATATATATATATTATATATATATATATATATATATATATAATATATATATATGATATATATATATTATATAATATTAAATATATTATATATATGTATGTACAGGTGTGGGCAGACATCTGCAACTTTATTCATAAACACAATAAAGCTGTGGAATAGTTTAACAAAGCCACCGTTCAGTTTCCAATATCCCCTGATTTTTATTATCAGTATTTTTATAGTTTTATAACTTTAGTGTGATATTAATAACCTTTGTGTGTGTTATTAATTATTTTATTATTATTATGATTATTATTATTATTATTAATATTATTATTATTATTATTTGAGTTATTACTATTATTCAAGGGGTATATATATTCACCCTGAGGAGTATACCACTTCTATACATACATACATACATACCACTATACCATACACTGAAAGTTTACATTAGTCCTGGAGTATGTTCAGGACTACGGTATAGTTGCTGGTTGGTCAGTAAACTGTTGTAGTGGCCTTAATAACCTTACAGAGGTAGATAGGCTTCAAGCCTAACACCACACCAATGGCATTTTTGTATTATTATTTTACGCTGAAAAATTAGGAAACGGCGGATGTGTGTATTGAATTATCCCGAGTTTCCTTTCCTTTTGACGTCCTTTAGTTACGTATAAACGTATTCCACTAACCCGTCCTCCTTAGCACGTCACATTTTGACGTCGTACTAGAAAATGGTAGGGGCTCTTGCAATTTTTTTTTTTTTGCAAAATTGTTGCAAGAACGTCGCAAATTAATTGCAGCTGCAACATTCATTGTCTAGAATGTATTTGCGGAATTCTATAATTAAATTTGATTACGATGCCGAACTATAGGAAAGAATTCAATTCGACGTGGCTGGCCTTCGTGTAAACCTTCGATATTAGGATGATAAGCTCAGATAATTGTTGCCATCTGTGTTTTATTATTAATTATTATTATTATTATTATTATTATTATTATTATTATTATTATTATTATTATTATTATTATTATTATCTACCACAGACGTGGCCACACATTTACAATCCTAACAATCATACATACATTTTCTTCTGTCCTCCACGGATAGGGTGAGAGATTTGTCAATCTGTGGTGTGTGACCTGTCCCCATCTCACTAGGGATGGGGGATGATGGGGCAAGTACAGGGGATGGAACTATGGTATGGGAGAACTGTATGACATGGGATGGATGAATGTATGACAGTATAGCAGAGGCGGAGCGAAGGGCTGAGTAGAGCTGTATGTTAGGGAAGGGTTACATGATATCTAAATTACTTATACAAGAGTGACAAATACAACTCCATTTGCGTATTTAAAAACTGTCATAATAATGTAGCACAGGAGGGGTGGAACCCCATTGCATTAAGTGACTTGCAATACAATATTCCGAGTCTAAGCGTGCAGGGGAGTGTAGGCTCTAAAGGCTCGGGTAGCCTTTAGAGCTGAGAGTCTTCAGAGCCTGAAAAACGAGATAAATGCCAGATATGCAACACATCTTGTGCAGGTATTGAGAAGCATTAGCTCTGATGCAACAGGACAATCAACCTCACCACAATCATATTTAAGACAGGCATACTATTTTCAAAATTCGAAGCCTCTCTTAAATATTACTTTTGAGCGTTATATTTTAGCCGAATTCTGGCTTATTGCACATATCTGGAGTTTTAAATTACGACTTTTTATGCCGAAAATATGCAAATTAGCGAAAACGCCAATGGGTCATATTTTGCCCAAATTGACCTGCAGTTTTCAAAATACGATGCCTATTGGAAATATGACTCTTGGACGTTATTCTTTACCCGAATTCTGGCTCATTGCACATATTTGGAGTTTTAAATTAAAATAAATTAAATTAAATTCAGAGTAGCTGAATCCAAAAACAACAACAATAACAGGAATACAGGGTGATTGCACGTATTTGGAGTTTTAAATTATGATTTTTTTTTACAAAAAATATGCAAATTAGTGAAGACGGCGATTGGTCATATTTATGCCCAAATCCCCCTGCAGTTTTCAATGTGCAAAGTAGTGAAAAATATGCAAATTAGTGCAAACGGCGATTTGTCATATTTGGGCGAAATATGACAAATCGCCGTTTTCACTAATTTGCATATATTCCGTATTAAACTCGTAATTTAAAATTCCAAATATGTGCAATCACCCTGAATTCCGCCCAGAAATAACGCTCAAGAGTCATAGTACCGATAGGCAACATACGTCGAAATAGGATGCCTATCGGAAGAGCAGAAGCATCGCACACAAGCCGTTACGAAGTCATCAAACGCATCTAACACTTTAAGCTCATAGTTTCCCCTAGATATCCTTGGCTATGACGCGCCACTATCACCTGATGCGCCCATTACACACACACACACACACACACACACACGCACACACGTTTGCTGCCACTTGCTCAAGTTCTACCGCTATAAAGGGGAAATTAACGCGTGAACGGCCAAGGGAAGCGACGTAAACACGGAGAGAGGTCGCTTACAGTCCGCCGCCGAGCCTCGTATCCTCATCGTCAAATCTCGGGAAATAAACATATATATTATAACTATTACTGATTTCAAATTTCACACATTTATACTGAAAT